GGCAACCAGAAGCTGTCGCTGGACTTTAGATGGGTTTCGGTTAGAAGGCCCACGTCGACGCTGTGCTTGCGGAGGAAGTCGGCAAGCTCAATACCTTTTGCTCTTACAGAGCAAGCATTCCAGGTGACGATACTTAGAGGATGATGAACTTACCGAGCACTTGGATCTGTTCGGGCTTATTGCGGCACTTACGAAGAGCACCGGACATGTTGACGAAAATTTCCATCAGTTCGTCTGCTGAGAACAGATCGGAGTTGTTGTTTTGCGCTGTTGGTTGGACCCGAGTTCCAAACCTTTTTGGAAACTCACAAAATTTTTGAAAAAAAAAAAAACCTCAAAAGCCTATTCTAGGGCATAAAGAAGGTGGTAAAATTTTGATCGCAAATTTGGAAAAAGCTGTGGTGGATGCCAACCCTGCGCGAGCCCGGATATTTATCCATGAGCGATTATAAACATTGAGGATCAGCATAAATGCGATCACGCCACCCGGGCGATGAACGCATTTATGCTGATGCGACGAAAAGGGTCACGTAGGCACCACAAGAAAACTAATCCACAAGCACAGCCAATTTATAGTAAACCCTATAGATTGCCGCATATGCAAAAAACCGAAGTGGAAGAGCAAATCCAAAAAATGGTCAACGACCAAATTATTGAAAAAGCTACTTCGGCATGGAACAGCCCCATTTTACTTGTCCCTAAGAAGAGTTCTGGGGATAAGAAGAAATGGAGGCTGGTCATCGATTACAGGAAATTGAATACTGTGATCGAAGATGACAAATTTCCATTGCCTAATATCGAGGATATTATTGACGCACTTGCTGGTGCGAAATATTTCTCACACTTGGACCTTTCTCAGGGCTACTATCAGTGTCTTTTAAGACCGGAAGATAGACCCGTGACAGCATTTTCAACACCCTCGGGGCAGTATCAGATGACGAGACTGCCCATGGGCCTTAAAATAAGCCCTTCATCTTTTTCAAGGCTCATGACAATTGCTATGTCAGGTCTAGATACGACAAAATGTCTGGTCTATCTAGATGACATCATTGTTTTTGGGAAATCAGTCGAAGATCATAACAGAAATCTGATTTCTGTTTTTGAAAAACTTCGAAAAGTGAACTTGAAATTAAATCCTAAGAAATGTAATTTCTTTAAAACAGAATTACTGTATTTGGGACACCTCATATCTGCAGAAGGTATTAGGCCTGATCCTGCTAAAATAGAAGCAGTGAAAAAATGGCCTACTCCTTTAAATGCTGATGAGGTAAAGCGATTTGTTGCTTTCGCTAATTACTATCGAAAGCACATTAAAAATTTTGCAAGTTTGTGTGCACCCTTAAATCGTCTAACGAGAAAAGGAGCACAATTTATGTGGAATTCAGAATGTGAAACATCATTCAACATTTTAAAGACGAAGTTCATTGACCCACCAGTATTAGATTACCCGAACTTCGAAAAAACCAATACTTTCCATCTACATACGGATGCTTCTGGTTACGCGATAGGAGCTGTCTTATCTAACGATAATGGCAAACCTGTTGCATATGCCAGTAAAGCATTGAACCAAGCAGAAACAAATTATCCAACGATAGAGAAGGAACTGTTGGCTTTGGTATGGGCAATTCGACATTTTCGACCATATCTTTATGGACGGAAATTCATTGTTCATACTGATCATAGGCCATTAGTATACCTTTTCTCTCTGACGGATCCTTCGAGTCGCCTGACCAAATTCAGATTAGCACTCGAGGAATACGACTTCGAAACGATCTATATCCCAGGAAAAGACAACGTAATAGCGGACGCGTTATCACGTATATCTATTTCTGATTTAAAAGCTATGGCTATGCCAGTAACAACAAGATCGAAGACAAATTCAACATTGACTTTACAAAACACAGAATCTGACACTGATGGGTCTGATCAACCTCAAGTGTCAGAGACTAAATACATCCAAATGAAAGTCTGTCCGGAATTGAAAACTATTGAGATCTCCCCTGAATTAATAAAAATACCGGCTACAAGTACGTTGGATCATCTACGGAGACTAATGGAAAGGATAGCGATATATATAAAGGAAAATAAATTGGAAAATGTGCACATTTTCATTAAAAGACATAAAAGCGCTATACAAATTATCAAAAATTTAAGAAATTTGAAATATGAAGGCTTGCCAAAAATAGTCATAATCGGGGATGATGTTAGAAAAATTAATGATGAAAAAGAAAGACAGACAATTATAAATGACTATCATGTCCTACCGACAGCTGGTCATGCAGGGATCAATAGAACCCTGCACACCATAAAACAAAAGTTCTATTGGCCAAAAATGAAGCAAGATATTAGAAATTTTATAAAAACTTGCGAATTATGTCAAAAGAATAAGAATTTACCAACAAACAGAACACCAATGATAGTAACGACGACTGCCAACACGGCATTCGAGAAAATATACCTCGATCTGGTTGGTCCATTACCACCAGATATTGACGACAATAAATACGTCCTCACCACACAGTGTGAGTTGACTAAATTCATAACTGCGACTCCGATTAAGGAAAAATCGTCGAGCGCAGTTGCAAGAGCTTTCGTTGAGAAGGTTATCCTAAATTTTGGTATTCCAAGTATCATTGCGACGGATAGAGGTACTGAGTTTATGTCCGCGGTATTTAAAGATATTTGTGAACTTCTCAAGATTGAGAAATTAAATTCTGTCGCGTACCATCATCAGTCCATTGGAGCTTTGGAAAATGCCCATAAATCTCTGGGTAACTTTCTCCGAATTCACGCTGGTAGCAAAATATTTGAATGGGCATCCTGGATGCCATTCTTTCAATTTGATTACAATACTACGTACCACTCTGAGACCAATTTTACGCCTTTTGAACTAGTATTTGGAAAGCAATGTAAACTGCCTTCTAATTTAGCGGACGAATCACCTATAGAACCAATTTATAACATGGAGGATTATTGTAAAATTTTAAAATTCAAACTCCAGACACTTCAATCAGAAGTGAGGAGTAAACTTTTGGCATCAAAACAAAAACGCTGTCTAGAATACAACGTGAACAAAACAGTTTCTAAATTTAATCCGGGAGAGCTTGTTTTGGTCAGACAGGAGACCGGAACAAAGCTCGACCCCAAATATTTTGGTCCATTTGCCGTGATAGAGGAGAAAGAGCCAAACGTAGTAATTGAAATGAACAACAAAAGCGAAATAATACATAAGGATAGAGTTAGAAAGTTTTATAGGTAATGATAGATAAAAGTAGAATAGGGTGTGTGGTGGATGTTGCCACACTAGGATAAGAGGTTCATCACGGGTATGAGATATCCATAAAAACCTCATTTAGGACTAGGTGTATGATACGGGGTATCACACACAAGTATGGTTAGAAATTTTCATGATAGAATATAGGTCTACGTGGTGCTGATACGGGGTATCGCACACACGGTAGGTTGTTTAAAAAAAAAAGAAAAAGATAAAAATAGTTTTAAATTTTAGACTATAGCTTAAAATTTAAAAATTATAAAATAGGGCGTGTGGTGGATGCCAACCCTGCGCGAGCCCGGATATTTATCCATGAGCGATTATTGTTATTATAATTATACGTAGGCACCACAGCCCGCGAGCTTGCCCTCGCTAAAGAATTAATGAATAAATGAGTCGAGTTTTGTAGCTGAACTGGAATGGTAGTCCCGGGCCGTTAAGACCAGAAACTGAAGAAGCCATAAGCCCCCCACAAAAAGGGCAATTAATTATCTTATCGTTTCAAAGCTCAGAAACTTGCTAAGCAATTTTAGAGTTCCCATAATTTCAGTTTGGGTCTTACTAGTCCTAATAAGAATCAGAATGCTTATCTGAATATTTTCTCTCGGAAACTAAAAAGTTTCATAATAAGATAGCTCCACGTGATGATGGAATTTTCTATATCATCTTCAAAAAAAACTCCCAGAGGCAAAAAAAATCCAGCTGAAGCCTCTAGCTACCGTCCTATAAGTTTGCTTTCTTCAATTTTTTTTTTGGGGCGGTCCCGGCGTAGTGGTTAACATCACTGCCTCTCACGCCAAAGTCGCGAGTTCAAATCTCACCCCCGGACAAGTCACGAATAACCCAAGAGTGTTAAAGTGACTACAATAAAAAAAAAAGTAAACTTTTTGAAAAGATAATTTTGACAGGAATGATGTTTCACATTGATACGAACTTAATTTTTGCAGATTATCAATTTGGATTTTGCCATGAACATTCAACTACTCATCAACTCTTAAGAGTTACCAATTTAATTCGTTCAAACAAATCTGAAGGTTTCTCAACTGGAGTTGCTCTTCTAGACATACAAAAAGCATTCGACAGTGTTTGGCATGAAGGTTTGTTCGCTAATCAGCTATGCTCGCGGAGAAGGTGATCTTCAAATGAAACAACGACGAACAGCATGTCCGTCTGCGAGAACGTTAGAGTTAAAAAAGATGTCTGTCTTTATTATGGAGAACGGCTTATATACTAAGTTACAATAGTATGTTTTTCGGATAGCTCTAGGACAGGTAGTCTAAATAAAGTAGTGGCATTGGATGCGGCTGCGCATCCATTCTGTGTGTTCTGTTTATTATGGGTAAGTCCAAGGAAAAGTTAAAAGAAAGGTTTTGCCGATTTGCATGAAAAGGTGGTTTTGGAATCGAATCGGGAAATACCTGATATGTAGTTTATAACTTGGAAAATACATGTTATTGTTTGGGTAGTAGACCTTTGTGAATTTTGATGATTTGAATGATTTGGAAAGCTGTATACTACACTAAATTGAAAAAGCTTCAATTTCCACTCTTTATTATGAAATTAGTTCAAAATTCGAGTAGTCGAGTATTAGTACAAGGCACTGAAGAATTCTGCACATTGTAGACGAAATACGCGTATCTGTCAAGGATAAGCAAATAAGCTAGTGGAATTAAATGGAAATTACTAATCCTTTTCTCTCTCTCTCTCTCTTTCTCTCTTTATACAGATATTGCACTAAGACGCCCACATTCATCAGGAGTTCAACATTATTTAACTGACAGAACTCTGCAGGTAAATTATCAAAATTCCAAATCTGAACGACTACCTGTTATAGAAGGAGTTGCTCAGGGTAGCATTCTTGGGCCTATATTGTATAACATTTTCACTTCGTACCTCCCTGATTTACCTCAGGATTGCCGCAAATCTTTGTTCGCTGAAGACACAGGCATTCCGCTAAAGGAAGAAGTCTTCGTGTTACTTGCATCAGAGAGCAGAAAAGTTTAGATATTTTCTCTTCTTATTTACAAAAATGGAAAATTTCTCCCAACGCTTACAAAACTCAACTTATTATATATAAACATAAGCCTAGAGCTTGCTTTTTTGCAACCTAATAGTAGTCACTTAGTCACTATGAACGGAGTTCCAATTTCCTGGTCAAACCAAGTGAATTATCTTGGATCAGTACTTGACCAAAAATTAACTTTTAAATATAACAAATATATAAAATGTGTGTAGCCTCTTATAAACAGGAAATCAAAACTTTGCCTGACGAATAAACTTCTAATATTTAAACAACTTTTGAGACCGGCCTTGCTTTACGCTGTGCCAATATGGTCTTGTTGTTGCACTACCAGTAAAAAAGCACTTCAAAGGAATCAGAAAAAAAATTTGAAGATGATTTTGAAGTTGCCTCCCTGGTACAGTACTACCGAAGTACATAGAATTTCGAATGTTGAGACTTTAGAACAAATGGCCAACAAAATAATTAATAATTTCAGGCAAAAATCGTTGCAATCCTCAATTGCAACGATTAATTTCCTGTATACCTAGATAAGGTTTAGTTTTAGTTTTAGTTTTAAGATTTCAACTGCCTTACTGACATGCAGGTTAAAAAAAAAACTGTTAAAAATAATGAAATACCACTGCAGGAACAATTTAAAAACACTTAGATATGTATCATAACAATTAAGGCTGGTAAGTTACTGTTGTAGCTGGAGCACCTATGTTAAAATAAAATGAAATTTATTTTGAATTTGGAGCATATAAAGAGATAAAAAAATAGTACTCTCGAGGTAATTCCATCGAACCCCTCCTCGAAGTCTTAAGCTGATTAATTTCAAAACTGAACACAGACTACGCACTAACCTTTACGTATGTCCTAAAAGGTTAGTACTTAAGTGCACATAAAACAGTTAACTAGTGCGTATTGATTAGATTAAATACTCTGTAATCAAAAATTCAATTCCAATTCCAAATTTAGTAATCATCACTGCTTTCGAGGTGCATGAGAGTCAGCTTTGGTGAACAAAAGAAACCGATTGAACAAGTGCCGTAATTATGGTGGGTTGAAACCAGGGCCCCCAATCATATCCTCTCAATAATATGTTTCAAGAAATGAATAGTTGGTTATTTTTGAATCAATAAATCAGGCAAGTTGATATCATGAAAAAAAGGGAAGTTCACAAAGCACCATATGTTTAAGGTTTCTGTTTAATTCTGGTTCCAACCACCTAGAATGTACTTCAATTTGGCTTCTTTGGTAAAGATGTGCATTTCATAATGTTGAGAAATGCTGCCCAAGACCAATGATTTACAAAAAGCAGGCCCACATATAAGAAGTTGGAAATAATTCACGTCCAATTCACTTTCGCTCAACCACCGCAACCCTTTTCGAGTTGGAACATACTTCCCCGTTTATTAATTAATCGATTTCTTTGATCCTATCCTAAACCTATTTATAGCCGGCGCCGGTGGTGTAGTGGTAAGCGTGACTGCTTTCTCACCCCAATGGGTCTGGGTTCAATCCCAGCCGAGGTCGGTGGGATTTTTCTGAGGCATAAAAATCTCTGGTCACGTCTTCCTTCGGAAGGGAAGTAAAGCCGTTGGTCCCGGCCCATGTATGTGTGTTGAATGGGTGCGATATCCTACGCAGGTGTGGAAGCTGCCTTCCTGCACATTCGATTGCCGTCAATGGATAGCAATCGATGTCCGTCGGTGATTGGCACCAGATTGCGGAACAGAGACCGACGTTAAACACTCAAAAAATTGCACACGTTTGATCGAAGTGTTTAAACACTTGATTTTTTAAATGCAAAATCACATTAACTTTAAGTGTATTTCACCTTGGTTCAATGTGTTATACACGTTAATTTCTGGTGTTTCAAACTTTGAAATGTTAAAAATCATTCACTATACATTTAAGTGTATAGCACATTGAATCACACTACTGTTCAAAACAGATGGATTTAAAGTGTTTTGCATTTCAATACGATGTGAATTGCTTGCTCAGAAAGGTAAACATCGAAAACAAGAGTTGTGACTTTATCCTATCAACCCGCCTCATATATGATGACAACCGTGGCACAGTGAGATCGAATGAAGACTCCGGCAGCAGCTCACCCCAACAGTCCATGATCGAATCCCAAATCAGATCCATTAAAAAGATATGTGACAGATCTGGCCTCTGGCAGTTTTGTTTATATATTTGTCGACTCATTTTTAGAGTCGGTAAAGTAGAAGTCGATAAAGTAGAATATTGTAGAATATTGAACTATGATGTGCAAAGCTATTGATATCACCATATGAGGCACATAGAATCCAAGAGTGTCACAATTCAAATCCATAGTGTTCGGGCATGGTTCATAGCATAAAATTCACACATGAAATGGATGTGTTTCACAATATGCGCAAAATTAAGTGTGAGACACATGATGATGACGTGTGCAATTTTTTGAGTGAATAAAGGAAAGAAAAAAAAACCTATTTACTACACGCTAACATAAAAGTACACAATAAAGAGTAAATAAAGACCCATTTTGAAGAAAAGTGGCTTAACTCATGAAATGAGTAAAACAGACTTTACTCATTAATGAGTATTCGATGAATACACTCAAAAATATTACAAAACGAGTATAGATTAAATTTTATGCATTTTATGGTTTTTCAAAATTTATACATTGGTTCGATTAAAATTTTCGTCAAAATTATACTAAGTCCGAATAACGGAGTGGAATTCGATCAGTGTTTACTAATATGACAGGAATAAGAACATCTGGATTCCCTTCGGAGCTTCGTGCTGGTGAAGGGCTTTGTCCCAGCGGATTTCTACTGCGCCTGTAATCTGCAGGGCAGCATCGAAATTGTAAGTATTTTTTTTTTAATATTATTAATAAAAAATAAACTAATGAAAAAAGCTTCCTGAGACAATTTTTATTTTCATTTGAAAACAATAATATTTACCATAAATAAAATAAAGAAGCGAAAAATACATTCTCTTGAATAAACCGTATCTATGCATTGTGAGTATATTTCGATTTTATACTATGGCACGCATAAACCATTTATATACTAAGTTTGCATTCTCTCCCTTTATACCGACCTTTGCGTCGGTACAAAGAGTGTTGCTATTTAGCGTAACTTTTATACTATTTAGATTTCAATATTTTTTGAGTGTTACCCTTCTTGATGGTTCTGTAGATGAGTAAAAACTACACATTTTATTGATTTGTTTTGCTTTATTGGGCTACCTGGAAGTAACCAATTAAATTATATAAAAAGCGGATATAATTAAAACACTTCATACTCTTTATTGAATATAATCACAATCATTATAATTTATTTGATTTTATAAATCGCGTTAAAAATCTTTGACCACAGGTGCAGTTCACTGCGGGTCAGAGCGAGAGAGAGACGTTGCTTATCGCACAGGCCCAGATCCTACCACTTTTCCCTTTTTGGAGTTCTTCGCTAGCCTGAAACGGAACACATTTTCAAAATACCGTGTCTTAATGTTCATCATGATTCTAATTCTTACCTCGTATCAACCGGTTCCAAACTCCTATGGCAACGATTTTTGCAATGGTTTCGGAGCGTTTTGTTTCCAATGAAACAAACAATACTCGTTTCGGGAATGATCACAACACTCACTTGTTAAAAAAAAAAAGTTAAACACTCTGGGTCTTCACTTCGTCAGAGATGTGTTTACATTGATTGAAGGCATATTTTTACCCATTTTTGATTGCAGAAGATATTTCTCAAATGGGGAAAAAGTACCCGCTCTTCGTTTTTTGAAAATACCCATTTTTTGACAGGTTTGAATAACTTCAAAAAAAGAGTACAAGATACTCATTTAATGGGTACCTTCGAGTTAGCGTGTACGTACACAATTCTTTGGGCATTCTTACCTGGGGGGGGATGTGCTGTCAAATCAGCCTACTGATCATCTTGTATGAAACTGGTTCCAAACGTAAACAAACGCTGTAGGTTTCTTATGGCTTGTTTACGTTTGGAACCAGTTATGCGAGGTAGGCGACGATTGTTCGTATTTGACAGCCACCTCCCCCCCTTGATTCTTACCCTCTCTACTCTTATTCTCTTCGCTTCCTAGCTGCGCGCGTCGCGTACTATAGACTTCTCTGACGTTTGTGAAATGCGCAAGGATTAGTGCAGAACTTGAGGTAATTTATTAGTATTAGTGCTAGAAAACCTTTGAATTCACCCAAAGTTCTGCACTAATACTTGTGCAATTCATAAACTTCAGAGAAGTCTATTATCGGTCCATACCACTGCCGTATATGGGTACATCTGTTAGTAAGTCGAATGTGTTTTGATTTCCCTCTCGCGGGACGTTGGCTCTCGTGGCTCTGTAATAGTATATTGGTAATCCGTTTCTTGCAGTTGGTGAAGATTGTGATCTACATTGAACTGTTTTCGGAAATGTTTACGTTCGGTAAGTGTGTGGTTTTCCAATGCATTAGGACTAGAAAGTAATCTCGTTCTTTTAGTAAGCCTGAACTGGAAACCAGAAGAAGACGAGTTGTACAAACGAATCATTGACATATGGACTGATCCCAAGTAGTATTACCAGTGTTATCAAGGTTTTAAAGCATGCTATTAGTCCAAATTATAGGTAGCAAAGCTGTGATAGAACCAAAATTTCTATTGGGGGAATTGGTTTTCCGAAATGTGGAAATAATCCATAGGGTTTTGATTTCAATAATGACCACAAACTTCTCAAGATTCATTGAAATGACTGAAAAATAAATTGAGGGATGTTATAAACCAGACTCGGA